CACCCACCGCTCAGGGGTGGGGGCCGGGGGGGATGACATTAGGCCCCCCTAATTAGTATTTAGGGCCCCCACCTGCCGATCAGGGGTGGGGGTGGTGGGAAGGGCAATAGGTCCCCCCTTATTCTAATTTAGGGCCCCCACCCGCCGCTCAGGGGTGGGGGCCGGGTGGGAGGACATTAGGTCCTCCCCCCTCACTTTAATTTAGGGCCCCCACCCACCACTCAGGCGTGGGGGCCAGGGGGGAGGACACTAGGTCCCCCCCAATTAGTATTTAGGGCCCCCACCCACCGCTCAGGGGAGGGGGGGCGGGGGGGATGACATTAGGCCCCCCCTAATTAGTATTTAGGGCCCCCACCCACCGATCAGGGGTGGGGGTGGTGGGAAGGGCAATAGGTCCCCCCTTATTCTAATTTAGGGCCCCCACCCGCCGCTCAGGGGTGGGGGCCGGGTGGGAGGACATTAGGTCCTCCCCCCTCACTTTAAATTAGGGCCCCCACCCACTGCTCAGGCATGGGGGCCAGGGGGTAGGACATTAGGTCCTCCCACCTTATTCTAATTTAGGGCCCCCACCCATTGCTCAGGGGTGGTGGCCGGGGGGAGGACAATAGGTCCCCCCCCCATTATTTTACTTTAGGGCCCCCATCCGCTGCTCAGGGGTGGGGGCGGGGGGAGGGGAAATAGGTCCCCCCCCTTATTCTAATTTAGGGCCCCCACCTACCGAATTTCCAAAGTCCCGAATTTGGGAATGCCGAACCGAACCGAACCTTTTTCCCATGCACATGCCTACTATATTCTATTATCTTTTATTTTTTCTGGGTTGGACTGCTCTGCTGTTGTATTGGAAACCTGAAGAATCCTATATATCCTTGAGTGGGGATTATTCCATATATGCTTGAGTGGGGATTATTCCACTTCACGTGTTCTAAACCAGAGCTGGATTTAAGCTCTGGATATTGTCAGTAGTTCCTTATTATTATACCTTCTGTTACCCAGTGCGTTTATATACTATACCATTGGAGTTCTTTCTTCTGTTTCCTCTCCACATGTTCCATCGGATTACAAGCCCATATTCGTGCCTATCAATCCAGTCTGCTGCTCCACAAAGAACCCCATCTACTGTTGTGGATTACCTTATTTGGACTAGTGTTAAGTTACCTGGACTATATTTTACACTTAATGTATTTATTTATATTATATTTATCTTACTTATAAAATTATTTATCAAAGGACACCCTTTTTCTTTATTCTTTACCTTCCTTATCAGTATAGCAATAATAACAAGTAAAAATAATGACCTTCAATGAAACCATGTTCTTAAACTAGTTTTGCTGTGCAATAGGCTTTATCAATGGTACTTAGTTTCTTCTGTATTCTCCTTCAGATTTAAAGCCTTTAAAACCTAGTAGGCGGGCGGTCTTATAGAGAACAGTATATAAAATGGGCAAAAAGCACTTGCCCTAGAGAGTGGAGAAAATGGAGAGAGTAAGGATAGGAATCACAGGTACAAGGTCTCAACTAATAAGGTAGAGCCCCAGTAAAAGCTCTAGGAAATGAATAAATATATAAAAAAAGTAGGTACAAAAATGGGCACAGTACACAAAAACATAAAATACCCATAGAAACATAGAATGTGACGGCAGATAAGAACCATTCGGCCCATCTAGTCTGCCCAATAAACATACACATAATATTAAAAGGAATCCACAAACAGGCAGGGGTTCTGCCACACAAATGTAAACACTGTTCTCTATAAACCGAACCGAAGAACATTGTCAGCTTTTATCACTATTTAAAGACCATCAAGGAAATCATATTACCATATCCCTGTTATGGTGGTCTATGAGTAATTGTTTTTCTGCTACAAGTGGTATTCTGCAATAATTTGATGTTCCTGCTTTTACCAATTTATACCATTACTGGTTAGATTGTATGTACAACTCGACACATAATTGCTGCTGTCAGTTTCTTTTGACAGTGACACATTGTGTTGGCTGGGATATTGTATCTACCTTTTTCTGCATTATAAGAACTTTGACATCCAGAGACTGCTAGTTGGTTTGTATCGTTATATTTTATTGGACCATTTATTTATTTATTTATTGTGAGAGTTCCCATTGACTATTTATATATATCTTTTTTTTTGGTTTCAAAGGACATACATGCCTGTATATTTTTATCTTTCAAGTTCATTGTTACTGCTGCTGGTAACGCTATATTTAGTCAACCTTCCCACCTCTTACGTGAGGATATTACTGATACAAGGTTGCCACCTAGTGGATGAACATATTGCACTTTACACTATAAGCACTGCAACCTCAATTTGTGTTTTTATATGCTTGTATATCCACTGTCTTACTTGTGTGTAATATTTGTATTATTTATCACATTTGGTTAGGGATCTCATAGTACATGTAGGTTTTTGTACCTACTTTTTTATATATTTATAGAGAACAGTGTTTACATTTGTGTGGCAGAACCCCTGCCTGTTTGTGGTTTCCTTTTTATATTGTGTGTATTTTATGTTTTTGTGTATTGTGCCAATTCCCCATTCGGGAGTGCTTCCACGAAGGGAATCCATTCCCCTCCTGAACGAGGACCACCCTGAGATCTCATTTTGAATGTTAGGTTAGAATCTTCTCATCTCGCAACATAAGTGTAAAACAGCAAGGGAAATAATTAATGAGCTCTCCCCTGGGTGGCCGCCATTTCGTTAGACGAATGCCAACCAGGGGGAGCATTCGTGGGTTGTTTCCCGACCCAAACGAGGAAATCCCCAGCGCCCCATTAGAACGTTCACACTTGGAACATAGGTGTGAAACAGCAAGGAAAGTAACTAATGAGTGCTCCCCTGGATGGCCGCCTTTTGTACCGACAAACGGCCGCCAGGAGGAGCATTCATACAAAGGAAAGGAGACACTTCCCATGTCTTTGTTCCACACCAGGACCTCGCGAACGGAGGTTTGTCGAAAGAATAGCCATTGTGGAGTCCCTGGGATTGATGTGGACGCTTTTGGGGGCACTGGCTGGTTTGGCAGGTTTTCCTGTGCCTGAGGGACAAAGAGACTAGCTCTTTTCCCGTGGATGGGCTTTTCTGTGCCTGGGATACAAAGGAACGGTCCCTTTTTCCCGCGCCTGGACTCCCAGGAAAAAGACCCCCTGGCATTTGGGGTGGGAAACTGTGTTTTGGTGGCAGGCTTTGGGGACAAAGTGAACAGAGTCCCTTTCCCGCACTAGGGCCCCAGGGAGGGGAAGGATCCTGGCATGTGACCCTGTATGGTTGTGTGGGAGATCCCTTTCATGGGGATATGCATAAAAGTCATGTATTGCCAATAAAATTGTGTTGTACCTCCAGAACTTGATCTCGTCCGTTATTAACCCCTTCTGCACCACAGGGGTGTGCATTGACAGAGAGGGAAGTTATAGTGCCAGGAAAACTATAGTTTCCCTTTAAAATGTAAAATCAGTACAAATCAAATTGGTGTGTAAAATAAATCCTGAAATGCAATGGTACTTATACATGGGCTTAGATAAATAAAAGCCCTAACAGGTCTGAAGTTGGGTATCCATGGAAACCTGCAATGCTCTTCGTGCATATACCAGCATTGCTGGCTACTTCACATTTTCAAAAGATTATCAAAATAGGGAAAGTTAAATTAAAGGATATGTACTTTTGCATTAACGTGGGAGACTTAAGTAATTTAGTGGCTTTGTATTTGTGTATTAGAGCTGCTATAATGTATATGTTCATGAGCAGTTTATTGGATTATGTAGGATACCTAAGTGGGCTTTTGTATGGATGATAAGTCACATACAGGGCTAGTGCAAGACTATTTTGTACCCTAGTCAAGACCAGCTACTTGCATGATCCCACCCAAAACAAAAATTGTCTACTTTGTGAGTCTTTCTCCTCCCCAACCCCTTTGTGTGTCTTTTCCAATCCCAATTTTGAGGGTTTTTTTTCATTCCACAGCCCCTCTGTGGGCCTCTTTCTCCTCCCAGCCCGTGTCTCTGTGCACCCCCTCCCCCCAGCATCAGTTTGACTTTTTCCCTTCCAGCCCTTCTGTGCGTCTTTGTCTCACAACCCCTGTGTCTGTTTTTCCTCCTCGTTCTCTGTGTACATCTTTCCCCACCCCCTGACCCCTCTGTGGTCTCTCCCCCCCGTACCAGCTCACCTTCCCACCATGTAGTGTGGCCGAGCCATCTAATGCAGTAGAGAAGCTTCAGTTTCCTCTTCCTAGTCAGACCACGTAGATAATACAGGAGATCTTCCACCATGCTCCGCAGCTATGCCGTGCTACATGCAGTGACCAGAAGGAGGGGAGCGTGGTGCAGTACATTGCCTCCCCCCTCTCACCCGGGTCTGTGTGCCCTAGAAAATGGCTTAATTTGCCTAGCGGTCATGCCAGCCATGGTCACAGTGTGTTTGGTGGTTTGTATATGTGTGCATGTATGTTGATTGTCAGTGGTGTTGTGAAGACTATGTGTGGGCTGTTTGTATTATTTGTATGAGGGGATGCTTATTCTGCAGTTCTGTGTACATCTAGCAGTGTGGCTTCCCTGGGTTCAGTGTGGATCGGGGCTGGCCACTAGCAGGTCAAGGGCAGAAGCTGCAATAGCTGCTGTGGGGGCTGCTCTACTTCAGTGCAAATTCCCATTCACAAGTGCTGGGAGGAAGCCATCTGAAATCACTTCCTCTAAGAAGTGATGCAATGCTTAAATTGAAGCTTGTATTTCACACCCTGCAATCACCGCTTGATTTGCACTAGCAGATATCTGAAGGCCCACTGTAACTAGTGACAAGACAGAGCATGTTTGGTTCTGGCAGCCTTGAGTGCTGTGCTGTACTAATAGGCCAGAGTCGATTTGCTGAATTGTGTGCCACATGCCACAGGTTGCTGACTCCTGCCCTATAACCTACCAAGTACAAAATTAGCAAATGACTGTACAATTATATTTAGTCCCAATCGCATCCAAAAAAACTTTCCAAATGATTCCACATAAATGATGAAGACAGGAGAATTTTATTTACAATATGATGCCAAAATTATTCAAGAGACATTTAAAATAGTTTTAGGATATAATCCTGCATTTAACAAAACTGCAGATAAATTTAACAGACAATTGTGCCAATTGTTTTTCATCAAATAACTCTTGTGGGTTCCAACTGCAATCAAAAAAAAAAAAAAAAAGGGTAAAAACTGCAATGATGTTAATGGTCAATTCTGAAAAACTGAACAATTTTGTATTGCAATTTTAACATTAAAACAAAGCAATGACGTGCTAGCTTTGGTTGAACCGGTTATTATTGTAGAATGTATGATAGAACAATATGATTTCTCTTGCTAGGTAATCCAATTATGTTGCAAGCTCTCAAAATCAGAAAAGGGAAAAAAAGAAAAAGAAAAAGAAAAATAATTATCGGCATGCCCATTAGAAGCAGCTTGAGAGATCCGCTACATCCCAGTACAAAATCCTAGAATGAATAGACAGCCTGGATAGTCTATCATTGTTGATGCCAAGTAAAGGTTTTATTCTTCTAAATCAAGTATGTTCAGTTCTTCCTCAAGCTCATCAAGATCCTCTCCAGTAAAAAGATTTTCATCAACGGGGACTGCATCGGCAAAGTCATTTTCCTGATCATTTTCATCATATTGCTCTTCATCGTCACTTCTCTCTCCATTTTCAATTTCCCCACCTGATGCTTCATTTAATTTTACATCTGGAGAAACAAGACACACAAGACATTTTATTAAAGTTGTATAGATTTTCAAATGTTTAATAACAAAATATAGTAAAATTTACATCACATGGGATCAGGGACAGTTATTGCATTCTGCTTCCCAAGGTTAACTGAAATTTTAACACAAACAGCAAAAAATGCAAAAATGGCTTGTGTCCTCAAGGGTAAGACAAACTTTTGAAGCTGTGTCCTTAAGGGGTTAATCATGTGCGTGCAGTCAAAATACATACAGAGATAAAGTAGGGGCTGCTTTGGTCCCTACTTTTCACTTTAGTAAATATCCTTGTATGCTCTGGTGGGGGAGGGATTGCATCAAAGCGAACCATTGCTAAGAATCAAGTCTTTCATAAGATAAAGGTTATGACGTTATACGAATGCAGTTAAAATATTTCAGTTAAGGTCTCCGTGTAGAGAACAATACAAGGACTAAAATAAAATTTTAATGTGAAACAATTTTAGAAGTTGGTAGGTATGTCTTGTAGGTTTAGTAGCCATAACAAAAAACAAAATTGCCACACAAAAGTATATATTTATATAAAGTAGACATCACAGGCTATTTACCTGAGGTTAGTTTGACACTTTTTATGTAGCCATTTCATCGCCAATCTCTGCTAAATATTGGAGTAAAATTGTGTTTTCTCTCTCTATTTTGGCATATACACATATAACAAAATTTTTCTAATGTCTCTCTTGTAAAGCTGGAGTGTGCTATTCCTGCACAGAACCCCATATTGTGTTCAGCTACATCTTGATTATAACGATACTCCCATTGCATGCCTTTGGCACTTTTCTGTACAGCTACAATGTTATATAAGAGTCAAGGCTGTTTCAGTTTCTATAGTTAGAATTTTCGTAGATGGATTTGACGGGCCTAGGACTCATTTTAGGGTATTATAGCAGTGTGACTGCTTTATCAAATGAAAGCCCTTTGTGGGGTTGTTTGAACAGACTCCCCAGGGTATATTGTGCCTTAACTTGTCACCATTTTTTCACCAATTTATGTCAATATTTGTGGTGAGTGGGAAAAAAAATAAATAGCATTTTTGCTGAGTATTTCTTACACTTAATATGTACCACTGTCATAAAAAGTCCCCAAATTATGCTCAGTTACATCTGAGTAAAACAATATGCCCAATGTATGACCTAGACACTATTTTGTGAAGTTACAGAGCTGTAAAAAAAGAGACACGACAAGTTCAGGTTTTTAAGTGTGAATTTTGATGCGTCCATGTCCCACTTTGGAGCACTTGAGCAGGCTACATATTACAACTACACCATAAAGACATACCATTTCTTAAAGAAGACATCCCAGAGTATTTCAAAAGGTATATTTTGAACCTTAGCATGGGATCATTTTTCCGCTAGCTTGTACCATGTGTAGTGGTAATAAGCATTTTTTCTGCCTTTTTGACACACAAAGTAAGTTTGCACAGTATATTTTGCAAACCTTATGTGTGCTACGACTGTATAATATTAAAATATGTTGCTCAGCTATGTCGGCTGAGTGCATCAATACCCCCGTTTGTACCTTTGGCACGTATATGTGGATGTTGAAGGGGTGCATTTGAGACGCAGCTATTTTTTTTTTTTTTTTTTACTTTGAAGTTTTATGCTGTGTCCAAGTTCCAATTTGGAGTAGATTAGCTGGCTGGTTATTCAAACCTCCCCACAAACACATACTATTTATTAAAGAATACACCACGGGGTAATTCAAAAGGCATATTGTGAACCTTAGCGTGGGATCATTTTTTCACTAGTATGTTCCAAGTGTAGTGGTAATGAGCATTTTTTTTTTTTTAATGTATTTTTTTACTTTCTAAAACTCGTTTTTAAACTTTTTTTTAAAACTTATTAAATGTTTTAAACTAACTTTTTTTACACTTTTAAAAAATGTTATAAACTTTTTTTTTTTTAACCATTAACCCCTAACTAGCAGTAAGCAGCACTAACAGTAAATTCCCCACTTTCCCATAACTCTCTCCAACCCAGCAAAATATCTTATTATAAAATATTTAAATTAATTAAATTGAGGGTAAAAAAAAAAAAAAAAATAGATCACAGCATAATACTGTTATCTGTATTTTGATCACTGTAGGCAGTGATCAACTGGCAGGGAAGGGGTTAATTTTAATTTGGACTGGGTAAAGGGGGGGTGTTTTTTTTTTACATTTTAAAGCTTATTTAAATAAACAAAACAAAAAATTTTTTTGCGTTAACCCCTAGTTAGCCTAACACCAAATCCCCCAATTCCCCACAAACTTCAACCCATCCCAGCTAAATATATAATTTTAAAATATTTAAATAAAATAAATTTAACCCCTGAGGCTAATTTTTTTTTTTTTAACCCTTTAGGGGTTAAATGAAAAAAAAAAAAACAGACAGTAAAATGTAATCCCTGCCACTTGATCACTGTATTCAGTGATCAATTGGCAGGGAGGGGGTTAATTTTATTAAAGTTGAGGAAAAGGGTTTGGGATATTAAAAAAAAAATTATATATACACATGTACTAGAGTATAAGTCGACCTGAATATAAGTCGAGACCCCTAATTTTACCCCCCAAAAAACTGGTAAAACTTATTGACTTGAGTATAAGACTAAGGTGGGAAATGCAGCAGCTACTGGTAAATTTCTAAATAAAATTAGATCCCCCCCAAAATTACATTAATTGAATATTTATTTTGTGTATATAATGCAGAGTATGTGAATGCAGTGTGTGTGTGTGTGTGTGTGTGTGTGTGTGTGTGTGTGTGTGTGTATGAATGCAGAGTGTGTAACCTTGGTGGGCATTTTTATTATTTTTTTTAAATTATTATAATATAAAAAAAATTTTTATAATTTTTTTATTTATTATATCATTTACATTTTTATTTATTTTCGTCCCTCCTCCCTGCTTGTTAGCTGGCCAGGGAGGGGGGCTCCCACTCCCTGGTGGTCTAGTGGCATGGGCTTTGTAGGAGGGGGGCTGGCAGCGAGTTGTTACTTACCTTTCCTGCAGCTCCCTTCTCCTCCGTGCCGGTCAGCACCAGTGTAAGCCTCGCGGTCTGAGTGCCACCACGGTAACCCGTGGCAACGCTGTGACCCGGCAGCTCTCGCGAGACTTACAGTGGAGGAGAAGGGAGCTGACAAGATCTGCAGGAAAGGTAAGTAACAGCTCGCTGCCAGCCCCCAACAGGACCGCCGGGCATCTGGTCTGTATTATGGCAATGTAAGTTGCCATAATACAGACACTGACTCGAGTATAAGTCGAGTTGGGTTTTTCAGCACAAAATAATGTGCCGAAAAACTCAACTTATACTCGAGTATATACGGGGTGTGTGGGTGTAAAATAAATAAATAAATAAAAATATATATATATATTTATTTATTTATTAACAGGGAGGTCATCAACAGTGATCCATCTCCCTGCACTTCACACTGGACGCAAAAGAGCAGGGAGGCGGATCGTGAGTCCCTGCTGCACATGTGCTCGCTCTGACAGAGCGATCACTGCTGCAGGGGCAGCGCGATCGGGTGCTCCCCGTCTACCTTGGATACTGAGAGACCGGGTGAGCATTAACCCCACGATCTGGGGTTAACTTTAGTAAGTGATGGAAATTTTCCGTCAACGGTCCTTAACTCAAGAACAAGGTTGACGGAAAATTTCTGTTTTTGGTCTGGAGGGGGTTAAGCGTCTGCATGGCGGGAGAGCTTCAGAGGCTTATCAATGACAAGTCTCTAATGGGCTATTTGCCTGTGAATAGACAAACTCTCTTCCAGAAAAAAAGGGATGGTCTTGCAAAGGCTGCAGTTCATATGAACCTCCAGAATTTTTTTAACACCATGAACAAATATGTTATTTTCAGGTTTTTCCTTTCTGAAAGAAAATCACATAGTACAATACTCTTACAAATTGAAAGTCATTGTGTTTCACTGGGAACATAAAATGTCTCAAAGGGATGCATGTACATTTAAAGCCTATTAAAATATATTAGTTGCAATTTGACATGATTAGAAAAGAATTATGCTAAAAACGCAGCTTTAAAGAGGTGTGCCCCTATTAAAAAACAAAAAAATAAATAAAACTTACCATCTTTTTCTGTTGATGTAATTAAACCGCTGAAGCGTTCCAGACTTGCAACTGTAATACCAGTTTCATCAACATCTTTAAGGACAAACTGGTTCAGATCAATGTCTTGAACATCATCTGTAGAATCAGACTTAAAAACAGAAAATAAAGTAAATATCATATATTCACACATTTGGAAAAACAGTAAAAGTCAACACCCCTGTCCCCCACCCTGGGGCTTAGCTAACGAGGAGTTCATTTTTTTCCCTTTCTTTAATTTCGCTCTTTCTTTACACAAGCCATGTAAAAAATGCAGATTAAGAAAAACACAAAAATAAATAAAATCACAGAGGCAGGTCAATGTGACCTGTGTGTTCTATTGCAGCATGAACATGAAGCAATAATGTATCAAAGGGGATCTAGACATAACAGAAGAACATGTGAGTATGCAGCACAAGTGAAATCTCATAATGCCACATTGTGGGAAAAGGGGTGCGTTATTTGTGGGTAAATGCACGACAATGAATGAAAAATAAATAAAAAAAATATATATATTTATATTTATTTTTCCCCACAGCCAAAAGTTTAGCATGGATTGTAGGGGCAGACCAATTATCGGTTCCGCTGATTATTAGAGACAATATTCTGCATTTTTCCGATATTCGGCAGAAGTCTTGTAATTTATCAATAACTTACTCACTGCATGTCGTCTGCATACAGGAACCCAGCCAATGAGGCGCCACATTGCAACCTCATGTCACCCCACCCTTTGAGTCCCCACATGCAGAGCTCAGCTGAAGGCTGGGAGGTGAGACAATGAATAATATACTATAATGTACTGGGCTGGCTGCCTGAAATTGATAGGAGTGCTATTGCTGTCAGCATGTTCACTTAAGGTCAGATTTCTGTAGAAATTGGGTTGCTTTTTCAAAACTTTAGATGTACAAAATATTGGCAATTGGCCCAAAAACCAACCAATAATCTCTATTGGTTTTGAAAAAAAATTATATCAGTCGATCCATAGCAATAACAAGTATATGGACAATACCAATATTTCACAATACTAAGTATATGGACACTTATGCAACAAATGTATGGCATTAGCAAGTTTAGCTTGCACAAAGTAAAGAGAGAATGTAACATCTGATGAAATTATATATAAAGGGGGAAATGTCATGGCACACGTTTTTTAACATTATGTTCACTCCCGGACACACACACACACACACACACACACACACACAGAAAGCCTACAGAGGAGGAGTAATTTAACAATCGTATTTCTCCTCATTGCGATGTTTGGCCTTGCTTTGCCTTGTTTGGTCAGGACTGAGAGCATTTAAATAAAGACAGGAGAAAACCACAGCATCTCATTAAAAAGGCTAACAGAAGTTATTTGGAATGTTTTATTCAGTGGGATTGAATTCAAGAGAGCTAACAGCTCTTCTTTGAGGATCTTATTCAGGTTAAAGGTCACCATGGTACATCGCACATGTGAAAAGCCACACGACCACATGATTAACAGGACATTTAAATGTACAGCAATTGGAAAAAAAATATATACTTACATCATAATCATCATCATCTCTTTCTAGTGTGTACTTTGTGTCGTCTGCTTCCTCATCATCATCGTCGACAAGCTCAGGTCGAAACTCGAATACTTCACGGCCACTGATCTATTAGGGTTAGCATACCTAGTTAGATTACTAATTAAATTATTTATGTGCAGATATGTAGTACATTTATTAAAAAACAAATATACCCCCGAAGATTTTCCAGCTTTAAAATCTGCCTTTTTCCTCTCCATTTCTTCCTCTGCTTTTGTGATTCGTTCTTGTCGTTTTCTTTTTTTCCATGCAAGAAAAGATTCTAAAGTGATTCTAGTGACATTTGGTCCAAGGGCTGCACGCTAACCAGTAAGAAAAAAAAAAAATAGATTACATTGAGTTAAACAGGAGGGTATAATGCATAAAGAAAAACAAAGATTACACGAAATGCAACATTACTTTTATAATATTGTGCAACTAAGGCAGACTTATTACAATTTACGAAGATGATAAAAAAAAAAAAAAACAACCACGTAATACTTAATTTGTAACCAATTTTAGGCTTCGAATTGCCACTTTGTATAACGCTTGAAACTTTTTTTTTTTTTTTTTTTAAATGCCAGTTTCTATTTTTCATGTTTTGGAATGCATAGTCAAATTGTTTAAGCCCTGCCACCCATTCACCGGCAAGCAGAATCCAGTTAGCTCCATCTCTAAGGCAGGCCTTGGAAGGACGCTCTCATAAGCATTGTGCCAGCTTAGTTTTCTCAGCCAGTGCCTAGATCAGGGGAAAACCATCAAGCGTCTTGCAAGAGTTGCCAAATATGATGGAGGTGTCCAGGGGAGTGAGGCAAGGAGCCAAACAGCTCCTTAACCACTTACTCTTGGAGAGTGCCAAGGCACCCAAGCACCACAGTGAGAACAACAAGTTATGGTGCCTGGAGTGTTCTTTTAAGCAAGGGATCTGAAACCTTGGTGCCCCAGATTTTGATGACCTACAACTTTCAAAATTCTTTAAATGCATAGATGGCCAGAGAATCATGGGAATAGTAAGAAACATTGGTGGTCATTAGGTACAGAATGTGACAATGTTGAACATGGCTATTGCGTCTTATGAAGAAGTGCTACATTGGGCACTTCTCTGAGAAGTATTGGATTGATGAATTACAGCAATTGCATCTGATTGGACAAAAGGCAACGAGACTGATGACACCATAGGAGAATCAATTGCTTCAAGGAGATTGTCCTGGCGCTTAAATGTGTCAACTTTTTCTTTTTGTTTTTAAACGATAAACCAATGTGACAAAAACTGTAAAAAGGATAGATATAACTATATAATGTCTTAAAAGATCAAGCATAAGTCACCAAGGATCATGCAGGTCTCACTGGCTGCTGACAGTCAATAAGAATAGCAGCTTGTGTCTTTTTTTGTAAGCAAGGTCCCCCTACAAACACTTTCATATGAAAATGGTGTTATGGGAATACCAGTACAAATTATTTAGGACTGGAACAGTATGTACACATTGGGCATGTGCGACACTATACAATATCTTTAATGTTCTGTGGTTATTGTAGAATCACTTTTTCACTGTCATCATTTTAGTTTTACAGACCTAGCCGCACTATAATCTGTGCAAGGGACATAGCTGTATATAGCAATTCGAGTATCTCATTAAAATTAAAAAGTTTATCATTATTTAACACATTGTAAAATTAAGAATCCCTTTAAATAGGCTGAAACAACATTGACAAATTAAAATACCTCTTTTTCTATTAAATCCTCTAATGAAATTTCTTCTTCTTTTTCTTCCTTCTTTTTATCCTTCCTTAGCACAAACCCAGGGGGAAGAGCATGGCGATAAATACAGGTATCTCCTCCACCAGGACACACCCAGAACCACCCGTATTTGTTGTTTTCTATTGCGTCAAGAAAAAACCTGCAGACCTTTAACATAAAAAGAGTAAATTTTATTACACTTTTATATTGCAATCAACATGATGCACCCTTCACCCTTCTCTCAGCTTGAATATACTAGCCTTCTACAATACGTACAGGCTGCTGGCCATTAGATTATGCGGTCACATACCAATATTTGTAGCACAGATCTACAGAATTATTACACTTCATACACAGCCAAGGAACCTGGATTCAGGAAAGATTGGAAACCTGCTTTTTACACAATACCTCCATAACTGCTCCAACGCAGCACACAGCAAATGTGCCAACTGTTGTCACTTTCTCACCAAGCTGCATGGCGATGGTCTTGTAGCCCATTACAGCCTTGTGCAGGTCTACAATCTTGACCCTGACAACCTTGGACAGCTCTTTGGTCTTGGCCATGGTGGAGAGTTTGGAATCTGATGGATTCTGTGGACAGGTGTATTTTGTACAGGTAACAAGCTGAGATTAGGAGCACTCCTTTAAGAGAGAGTGTTCCTAGTCTCAGGTTGTTACCTGTATAAAAGACACCTGGGAGACAGAAATCTTGCTGATAGCGGATCAAATATGTATTTCACTCACTGGCATGCAAATCAATCAAGCAAATCAAGTAAATGCAGCAGTGCTGTGCAGATATACTACCTAGAAATTTTGACTTGGGGTGCCTTGAATCATTATTCAAATATTATGGGCGGCTTGGACCTAAAAAGTTTGGGAACGACTGACCTACAGTATACGTACCAGTAAATTTATTTTTCATTAGTTTTTATTGTATTATACTTTTAGATATAATAAATAAAAAATATACCAAACTCCTTTGACCATTTTATGATGACTGAATAAATATTAATTAATTTCAGGCTTAGAGATGCAAAATAATCTTTCTATAAATATCGTACAAAAAAAAAAAAATTTAAAATGGCTTACAATTTCAGTTTTGGGTTTCTTCTTTTCAGATTCACCGTGTTTTTGGTTCACCACTTCTTCCAATTTTTTCTCATCCCAGTTTTCCATTGTATCTGAAAAAGTGGATGGATAATTCAGTTGCTTGTCTGTCATTCACTAAGTTTAAGTTGATCAGACAAAATCTTACCCTTTTCAAGTTCGTCATCACGTCCATCAACGTAAACACTTCTTTTTTCACATTTCCTTTCTAAAGACAGATCATGAGAAAATTTGCACTTATCGCCTTTGGTGCATTGACCTTGCTTGTAAAATGCACACACCACAGATTTTGGATCAGCACCTAAGGAAATCAAGCAAAAGTATTTAGTACAGAAAAGCTGTTGCATATAAGATACATGAGCAATAACTTTTATTCACCAAAAGTGCAAATCAATAAAGAGCATTTAATAATAAAAGGATTAACACGATGACCAAGTGGGATTCGTGACGGGGTGTCAAGGGGCAGACAACACCAGAAAAGTCCTAGAACTCATGCAAAGCCTAGGGGCGAAACGGGAAGGGGGGGGTTCTGCTCTCACTGGACGCAGAAAAAGCCTTTGACCGACTGGGATGGGGATTTCTGCAGGCGGCCCTGAGGAGGTACGGGATGCCAGAGGGGTTTATTTCGGTGGTCAGGGCATTGTATTCGGCACCAAGAGCCCAAGTACTTAATTCAGGTTTCGTGTCAAAAAAGATAACCATCACCAACGGAACAAGACAGGGGTGCCCCTTGTCGCCCCTGCTATATGTACTGGCACTAGAGCCGCTAGCTGCAGTGATCAGAGCCCACCCTGATATACACGGGGTTCAAGTGGGGGACAGGGAGTACACCCTTAACCTATTCGCAGACGACATACTCCTGACCTTGACGCAACCAATAATATCCCTACCGAACCTACTACAGTGCATACGAGACTATAACAAAGTATCCTACTACAAACTTAATCTCACAAAAACACAGGCAATGGGAATCCATCTGCCAGGACACACCCTACAAACACTGACGAATTCCTTCACCTTTGACTGGAGGGAAGACTATATCACATTTCTGGGGATTAAACTAGCCAACACGAGCGGCCAAATGTTTAAATATAATTATGAGAAACTTCTGCAGGAAATCTCTCAGACGTTAGACCAATGGAACAGTGACTTCCACTCGTGGCATGGGCGCATAGCGGCATTTAAAATGTCACTGTTGCCAAAATTACAATACCTATTCCGCACGCTGCAGATCCCTATACCCAGGCAATATATGGTCAAACTACAAAAAAACATCACGAGATTCGTGTGGGCGAACACCCAGGGTGGCTTACTCTACAATTAAAAGACCAACGGGGAGGGGGGGCATGAGCTTCCCAGACGTCAAACTGTACTATAAGGCGGCCATTTTGGCCGCGCTAGCCACGACACACAGGGCAGCAAACCCACCGCAATGGGTAGCCATTGAATCCCACTGGGCGTGCAGAGCAGGGATGCACCACTTGTTCTGGGTGCCAAAACACCTAAGGCCAACAACACCGACCATGCTTGAGACCACTAAATTGATGCTTCATCCATGGGACACATACAGAACGCACCTTAGTGGCTCAGGAGCTACATCGCTAGCATCGACAATGTATAGTATATACCTGAGGAACAAAACATTTGATTACCGGACCTGGACGAATGCAGGGTGTACACACATACACGACTTATACAAGGGTACGTCCCTAAAACAATTCCCGGACGTACAAACACAGTACAATCTACCGAGTAAAGCAATTTTCTCATACTTGCAACTCAAGTCCACCCTACGGCAACCCACGACTCCACCTGTGACACCCATGATCTCAAACTTTGACACATGGTGCCTCACGGGCAAGCCACACAGACAAGCCATCTCAAAAATTTATAACACATTGCTTGAGGGCACTCACACATCCACGGACAACTTTATACAGGCATGGCACAAAGACCTGGGCAGCACCTTCACGGAGGCCCAATGGTCCAGAGCCTTTACAATCCACAAAGGCAACACAGCTTGCATTACACACTTTGAACAAGTGAGAAAACTGCAATACAGGTGGTATTTGGTCCCCACACGGCTAGCACACATGTTCCAGAGTACATCTGCCCAATGCTGGCGATGTCAGCTAGACACAGGCTCACTAGTACATCTCTGGTGGAAGTGCAAAGACATACAACCCTACTGGGCCATGGTGAGCACCATTGTGGATCAACTGCTTCCTACGAAGCTGACCCTGAACCCGGCTACATGCCTCTTATACATCTGGCCAGAAGGCCTGACCAAGGTCCACTCCAAACTCCTATTCCACACGCTAATAGCAGCATGTAACCTAATAGCAAAAAACTGGAAATCACGGAACATTCCCACAAAAACCGAGCTAGTTACCCAGATCCAAAAGAATTGGGAATACGAACGCATGGCGGCCCAACAACTGGGGACGGGAGTGGCAACTATGGAGGCAGGAAAAATCTGGGAACAATACTGGAACAAGGTGGAGACCCAGACAACTGGGGATGAGTAGGACCCTTTAGCCTCACCAACGCAATCTGAGAGGGTATACCCTGGGGGAAAGTGGGAAGAGGCCGGTGCTGAGAGACCAAACAGATACAGCAAACCCCTCCCAAAAGAACCAGGTAGATGCATCACATACAGACGAGACTAAAAACCCACTAGTGTATATATATAAGTTAACTCCCCCCACACCCCTCCGGGCAAGCACCTGGACCCCCTCTCCCCCCCCCACCTCCTTCTCGTCCAACTCATAGACATGGTGCCACACGGACCAAAGGTATAACAACATGCGCAGGACAGGCTGGTAAACATGAGGACACCTCCGGGCTGAGGTGCATAGATAGCGCCTCACCGACACTGTTTGAATTGTCTGAACTATTGATGTATCATGTAAAGATGGATATAATGACTGTTGGAAATGTGTACTGTACCAACTAATCTCACTCCACCATACCCCACATTTGTCCTCTGTGATCCCCTTCCCCACCTTCGAAACACTAATGGTATACTAGGTAACCTCGGCCATACCACCATCCGGAGATACATGATACAGCGCCAAAACAACTCGCTGGTTATATAGCATTGCTGGACAAGTGTGATGTCATGATTATAAATACTAATGACCTGTATAATGTTTACTGCGAAAAATGCTGTAAAACTACAATGTCTTGAGTGGAACCCTCATTATTCCACCCTACCCCTCCCACCCCCTCCCCCATTATTTTCTTTATCCCTCCCCCCCCTTCTTATATGGAAAAATACAAATTGTCAAATTGGAAAAAAAAAATAATAAAAGGATTAAGTACAGCAAACAACTGAAGTGTTGTCATGTCTTTATGGCATTTTATTAATAAATTCTAAGCAAGACTTATGACTGAGTTGACTGGAAGTGCGGTCTGCTGTGTCTACTGCACTATATATGCTTCTCAGTAAATGGTTTAGAAGCGCTTAAAGGGAACCTATAGCAATGGATACCTAAAAAGCATGCGTCGCAATGGCATGTATAATGTCTTCCTATGGAGTTTTAGAGGACGCTGGCTGTCTTCATGCACGAAGTCGCCTAACTACTTGGAAGTTCCTCTAGTAGTTGTCTGGCAGACAGCCACTAGAGGTGGAGTTAGCGCTTAAGAGTAATTATTGCAGTTTCTTAAAATATTACTTACAGTGAGATAATTTTGCGGAATTTAGCTCGAACAGAATTAAAATGGCTATTCCGCAGGTAAATATTTTAATAAGGGCCTTAAATGTATACAGTGTAGGCGGTTTTCACTTTTCTAACATCCTTTAATATTCAGAGAGACTATTGCCTGCACTGACACAATGTAATATGAGTTAAGCAGAACTCTTGATGAAAAAAAAATTCCCCATCAAGAAAGATTATTCAGTGCAGATATTGGCAATTGGTTATCAGTATGGTCAGATTAACTGACAGTGCAGCATATGATGCAATTGTAACTCACTAGTCCTTTGCAGTACAGAGGACTTCATCTATTTCCTAATTCAATCACTCGGAAAACGATCTCGTATCCCATGTGATTATTCTAGAAAATAAATATTTTTCTAAAATCATGCGAAAGGTCATTTTTTTTTTTTTTAAATTTTTTTTTTAAATCTGCTAGTTGTAGCTACATCAAGATCAATATTAATTACGGTTCATAACATAAAACACCCAATTAGGTTAAGAAGCAAAAAAATAAATACATCACATCTATATTTCAAATGCATGTATTATAAATGTTTCTTAAAATTTTAAGACCACTTGCCATAGCCATTCATAGGATACAACCGACCTCCATTTTGTGGACTGAATTTTTCCCAGATATGCACATAACGTAGCGCAATACTTCATCCTCTTACGTGACCCCACCCAGGGAGAAAATACCTTTGTTTCTTTGAGTTACTTCAATGATTAAGCCTGACCAAATCTTGCTAGAACATAGCGTGAGCACACAATGCATGCTTATCCCATCCAATTATTTATACAAGTGAAATTCCTGGTTATCAAGTCAATTACTGATGAGGAGAAAGTATACAATTTCTTTTGTGTTATTTTAGAAATTAAGAATGATACGAAAAATAATAAAAAAAAAAATAATAATAAAAAAAAAAAAGCAGATTAACTACCTTTGCTGACCTTTTGTGCAGCTACTACCGGTTTAAAAAGATCATTCAGTTCTAAAAGTTCCTTCTTTTTGGCATCTTTTGTAGTTTTCTTTTCACCATCAACTTGTGTAGCCTGAAAAATAAGAAAGTGCTTCAATGATGCAGCCGGAAAATATAAAATTGTTCTTTAGAGCGCAGGAATGATTACTTCATAGAAGTTAGATTAGGTCATTCCATTGTATAATACACTTTTCTACAAAACAGGGAAACTAACTGAATGAAATGCTATGCAATCATTACAATAAATACGGTGGCGTGGCACTCTAGGTAATGGTGGATCCCTGGTACCCAGCACCCCAGCAGGGAGATTACTATGGTAATGGGGGTACCTACCAGTTAAGGGTGGGATAGAATGTCATTTCAGCGCCAAATTATAAGGCATTTATTCTGCTGCCTCTGAGTGGAGGTGGGCGGACGGGCAGCACTGACTCAGGATGCACCTATAGATGCAGTCTGAGTGACTGTCACTAGACAATGTAAATACTGCCTTTTTTCCTAAAAATGCAGGGATTACATTGAAAAGTGTGCAGGGACAGGATATAGACAAAGAACAAGTGGTTCTGGTGACTATAGTGTCCATTTAAGAATTGTATTTTTGACATTGAAAAAGCTGGCTCCTAACTTTTTTTTGCTCACTCCTAGATTCCAAGCAAAATTTGCCAAGCCCGAATTTAACATGCACTAGAATATTTTGACATTTAAATTTTTTTTGGATTTGCACTCTCCTTCCATGTACTATGCTTTTCATATTGCTAGATGGTGTACTGTATGGATTTCTATTTGCAAGTAATATTTTACTCATTACTTTTATGTTAATTATTTGTATTACTTTTCAATGCTATTAAAGGCTTGATTATAACAATTATTAATATAAATACCAATAATATAAATATATATATATAAATAAAATAAATAAAAAAAAAAAAAAAGAGTGAGGAAGGACGCTTTAAGGCAAATGGAAAAATTATTTGTAGATAAGCCAGTCTTCTTTTGGAATGTCAGCAACAGAAAACCGCAAATAGCAAATCTATATAAAATTAGTTCTCGCACACCCTAAAGCAAGTAGTATACTAGAAACTGGCTAGAAAAGGATGAGAATCAGATATCCCACTTGCAACAAAAAACCCACGTAAGGGAAGTTAAGGCATAGAAAATATGAATGGCGGGGAATAAATAAGAGTGTAGTTTATTCCCCCAGTTGATACGGTAAAGCAGAGTGGGAATTTGTCTTATAAAGCTCATTTTTAATAACCACCCATTGAAACATTACGAAGGACATTTCATACCCTCCCTTACCTAACTTGTCCCATAAAACCCTGTGACTGCTTAGCCCAGGACAAATTGTGTATGCAGCATGCAAATATAATTTGCAGACAAAAAAAACAAAAACCTTGTACAAAACAGAGACTGGGTATTCAAAACTCATTATTTGAGCTGCAGGATTGACAACTGATGTACTGTGTTAAAGTTGCAGCACATTTTACAAATCTCTGAATTGCAAAACCACTCTTGGAGCTGCGCTTAGGTCCAAGGTGCCCTGGGCACCATTAACTCTGCAATTAACCATAATTGTGACAGTTTTTAGAGAAAACATTTACAGGTTGTTGGTCAAATGAATGTGATACTATCAGTGTTACCCATTGCCAAAATAAATGAAAGGCATGTGACTATTGTGCATGGTACAGTCTTACCAGTCGAGGATTCTGTTGTCCAAATTTAACTTGATGAGTAACATTTTTGATGAACTTTTGCTGCTTCGCCCCCTTTTTGTTCTTAAGGCCAAATGTTTTGTCCTATATCAGAAAGAGACAGCAATCAGGAAAATAAAGTTAAATATAATAAAACACAATTATATATGGCTTTGGTTTACACTTGAGGATCACACAACAAAACAAAGCCCTAAATGCTTGATGGCTGCTTGCCTTTTGAGCTGGACAGCAGCCAAACGCAAACCGTTTTTTCCACTGGATGTATATTCATCAATGGATAAAAAGGTTTGGATTTGTTTCTATATGTGGACTGTCACCTTATATTTTTAATTTATTTATAAGAAAAAGATCATATTCTTTACTTGCATTAAGAACCAAAACCTTTAACTAAACCACTTTAATTAAAGGGACACTATACGCATCCAGACTTCATCTCATTGAAGAAGTCTGGGTGCAGAATCCCAGTCCCCTTAACCCTTCAATTACAATTATTGAGTAATTACAATAACAACCGTGCAGTGTTAACTCCACTTCTAGTGGCTGTCTACCAGACACTAGAGACGCTTCTGGATCCTTAGTGGACTTCAGTTCTGCTTAATGATGCTGGACGTCCTCACACTCAGCATGATGACATCCAACGATTGCTAAAACCCCATAGGAAAGCAAGGATTCAATGCTTTCCTAGAGAGAAGTCCAAATGTGGTCGCCACAGACGCACATTAGGTCCCAACTGCGTTGGACAGGCAGATGCCAACTACGTGCCGAAGGACTTTGACACTGGAATCAGGCGTTTTAACCCTTTATGGACTGTGTTGAGAAGGGGGGCAGAGGGTACTATACTGCTAAGAATACAGTCCCCAACTTATAGTATTTATAAACGAGAAGTATGTTATCAGAAGAAATGTATTTTATTTAAGGCAATAGCTTGAAGTTGATTTGAAATCCTAAAGTATAATTCATCATTATTTAACAAAACTTCAAAATCTCTAAAAGCTGTGAGACAGTGATTGTCTAAAACCAGTTATCTGTACACAGATATGCAGTGTTAGAAGAACACTACAGGCAACAAATTGTTAGGGTGCCAGAAGCTCAGCGGGTGCTTTCTCCAACAGTTTAAGCCCAAACACTGCCTCCAGCACCAGATCTACAGCTCCCCCCAGCGGCATCTGGCTTCTGAAACAGACTTTCACATAGCGCAGTGTGCCCTGGGAACCAATGTAAGCTGTCAAACCATTTGAAAATGTAACAAGTTACACTAAGGCAGCAAGCAGAAGGATACTCTTGCCACCATTACGTCTAATGTGGACTGTTACTTCAAGATGACTGCTATTTAGTCTTGTCTTTAAATCGCAAGGTAGCTATACTAAATGCCTTTATAGTCAGACAGTGATTGCTATCCTTACATGTCACTAAACGGCTTGCTGATCAATATGGCGACGCAGTAATACATCACAGCATAAAGAAACAATATTTTAAATAATTTTTCACACCCCTGAATGAACAAGTCAAAACACTTAAGCAAATATCAAGGGGATGTAACAGAACAAAAGGGAGAGCACATGTTACTGTTCATGCTTTTCAATGCGAAAAATGTGTTTGATACTTTGTCATAAACTAGTAACCTCTGTCAATAATAACTAAAGTTTTCTTAAAAAAAAAAAAAAAAAGCCTCGGTAGGAGGCAAGGCACATTGGGATTAAAAAGAAGCTTGTATTGTAAACTCATATTACATATTGTTTTTCCAAGAAGTTTTTCTCAAATATTGGCTTCCGCGCAAGCCCGAAAGTTTGAGCTGTACCTATCGAATGAAAAATAAAGAATTTTAAAAAAATAATAATTTTTCACTATTTCATTCCTTGGTAATTTTAGATTAATGGTAAAGAAAAGAAAGAGTTAAAAATAGTTTTCAAACGTACCTGTAATCCAGCAGCAATGCAGACTCCTCACTGCAGTCATCAAGACTGATGACTTTTACCCAACAACGCATTTCATAAAAAAAAAATACTGACATAAGGAGCATTTATGGCAATTGCCACACTCTGCCAATCCAATGCTCCTCTATGAACATCCAACATTAACACGGTTTGCATGGTGATGCCAAATGTCAAGATAATAAATTATGGATTATATAGATGTCCCTAGGGCCTGTATTACATACAGCAACTAGAGACATACGTAAATTGTGTCATTCGCTCTCTAAACTTAAAGGTTTTCATAATTAAAGGGACACTATAATAACCAGAACAACTACAACTTAATGTGTTTGTACTGGTGTGTATAGCCTGTAACTGCAGGCATTTTAATGTAAACACTGTTTTTTCAGAGAACTCCTTTAATGATACTGATTTGCCGCGCATGCACAATAGCCTAGAAAAGCACTGGATTGGCCTAGATCGTCAATTTCGATGATCTCAGCCACGGAGGCGGATGAGCAGCATTGGAAAAAAGTACGTTTTACACCTTTTTAGCCAGGAACCTAAATGGAGGTTTTCAATCTCTAGTGCCAGGAATACACGTTTGTATTCCTGACACTATAGAGTTCTTTCAAGATGAATTTAATGTCTAGAGCAGGGGTAAGCAGCCTTTGGCACTCCAGATTTTGTAGACTACAGCTCCCCAGAGGTTTTCCCAGCATTATGGCTATAAGAGCATTAAGAGAGATGTAGTCCACAACAGCTGGAGTGCCGAAGGTTCCCAACCTTTGTTTTACAGCCATGTTTAAAGGACCACTATAGTGTCAGGAAAACAAACCAATTTTCCTGACACTATGTCATCCTTGGGGGACCCTAACCCTCAGGCTCCCCCTTCTGCTGGGCTGAAGGGGTTAAAACACCTTCAGCAGCTTACCTTAATCCAGTGCCGGGATCCCTCGGCACTGGTGACCTCTCCTCCCCGGCTGACGTCAGCTCCCGAGTGGAGCGGAATGCGCAGCAAGAGCCGTGCACGCATTCTAACAGTCCACAGGAAAGCATTTAACTAAACCACTTTAATTGTCACACTAGAGGTTGTTTTAACCCTGCAATGTAAACATAGCAGTTTCTCTGAAACTGCTATTTTTGCATCTGAAGGGTTAAAACCTGGGGGACCTGGCACCCAGACCACTTCATTGAGCTGAGGTGGTCTGGGTGACTATAGTGTCCCTTTAAGCCATGGGTCCTCAAACTCCGGCCCCCCAGATGTTGCTGAACTACAACTCCCATGATTCTCTGTCTATCTATGTAATTCAAAGAATCATGGGAGTTGTAGTTCAGCAACATCTGGGGGGCCGGAGTTTGAGGACCCCTGCTTTAAGCTGAACAGGGAATAGTAAAAGCCCTTGATACTTTTCTACAGCAGCCTGGTAGAGCCGTTAGCCCTGATGTTAACCTGTCTCCACAATAAAGTCTTCCTAAAGCTGACGGTGTGTTCCAGACACTGTCAGCGGTCGGTGTGGACACATGGCGGAGCCAGACATGTATCCAGCGGGTTACAGGCCGTAACACAGGGGTGTCACATGGCCGCCTGTCTGAGCCAGGCCCCACTCTGGGAATATCCGGGCTCTAACCTCGATGATCTTCTCCTTTTTCTTCTGATCGGTCTTCTTACTGGGGCCCTGCGGCGCCGGCGCTTTCTTGGGCGGCATTGCGGAACACGCAACTCCGGTCTTCCACCACTTCACCAGGCAGGCAGGCAGCGGGCTCGCCTTACGGCAGAAGAATGAGACGACCGGTGACGTAATGGCAATTCCAGTTCACGCGAGATCACAGTAAACACTGCTCAGCGGCAGTCCAATGACGTAACGGCAGTCCTAGCTAACGCGAGATTACAGCTGCAGTAGTAGAACTCCTGGCAAGGCATCACGGGAGTTGTAGTGTATGTTTTAGCCACGCCTCTTTATACATCACATGTGAGAAATATAGACCATATGAGCATAGTTCTCAAATATATTAGAAGCCAAGTGTTGCTCTGGGTGGTGACTCATAAAAAAATGTAAAAAGGCCCTGAGCAGCAATGGCTAAAACACATCCTCTCTGTCTCTCTCATTAATTTTTATGAATTCAAAGTGACTTAAAAATGTGTGTCAGATTAGTCATACTGAACGCAAAGACGATTTGGGATAATTTTTCTAGTTCACTTATTTTGAACTGAAATCTGGAACTCGCTTAGAATTTTCAACAATACACATTATCGGGTTTATGTAAAGTAACTGAATGGGTACCATATCTACTTCATTAAAATTAAGTTGTTATGGTGCTCAGTGGTCTCTAGAATTTTCTTACCTGAATGGTAAGGCTGCTTTCTGTCCCCAACAGCGTCCACTTTCTGTAAAGGGACACTATAGTCACCTGAACAACTTTAGCTTAATGAAGCACTTTTGGTGTATAGAACATGCCCCTGCAGCCTCACTGCTCAATCCTCTGCCATTTAGGAGTTAAATCCTTTTGTTTATGAACCCTAGTCACACCTCCCTGCATGTAACTTGCATAGCCTTCCATAAACATTTCCTGTAAAGAGAGACCTATTTTGGCTTTCTTTATTGCAAGTTCTGTTTAAGATTTTATTTTCCCCTGCTATGTTAATAGCTTGCTAGACCCTGCAAGAGCCTCCTGTATGTGATTAAAGTTCAATTTAGAGATTGAGATACAATTATTTAAGGTAAATTACATCTGTTTGAAAGTGAAACCAGTTTTTTTCCCATGCAGGCTCTGTCAATCATAGCCAGGGGAGGTGTGGCTAGGGCTGCATATACAGAAACAAAGTGATTTAACTCCTAAATGACAGTGAATTGAGCAGTGAAATTGCAAGGGAATGATCTATACACTAAAACTGCTTTATTTAGCTAAAGTAATTTAGGTGACTGTAGTGTTCTTTTAACCCCTTAAGGACGGAGCCAAATGTACACGTTGTGAACAAAACAAAATGTAAACAAAACCTGGCATTTGCGCTACATGTCTGTCCAACCGTAATACACCTCTTTCATAGTAAATGCACCCACCCTTATTATATATCATTTTATTCAGGGGAAACAGGGCTTTTATTTAATATCAAATATTTAGCTATGAAACATAATTTAATATGAAAAAAATGGGAGAAAATACGATTTTATTGGATTTTTTTAGTTCTACATGACAATTAAACGGTCAGTGTCATAATACTGTTTGCTTTTACTGCAATAAAATACACATATTTGTATGCAGCAAAGTCTCACGTGTAAAACAGTACCCCCTATGTACAGGTTTTATGGCGTTTTGGGAAGTTACAGGGTCAAATATAGCACGTTACATTTGAAATTGAAATTCGCCAGATTGGTTACGTTGCCTTTGAGACTGTATAGTAGTCCGGGAATGAAATTTACACCCATAATGGCATACCATTTGCAATAGTAGACAACCCAAGGTATTGCAAATGGGGTATGTCCAGTCTTTTTTAGTAGCCATTTGGTCACAAACACTGGCCAAAGTTAGCGTTAGTATTTGTTTGTGTGTGAAAATGCAAAAAATGCCAATTTTGGCCAGTGTTTGTGACTAAGTGGCTACTAAAAAAGACTGGACATACCCTGTTTGCAATACCTTGGGTTGTCTACTATTGCAAATGGTATGCCATCATAGGGGTAATTTTCATTCTTGGGCTACCATAGGGTCTCAAAGGCAACGTAACCAATCTGGCGAATTTTAATGTGAAAAAAATGAAAAGCAAGCCTTATATTTGACGCTGTAACTTTTGAAAACACCATAAAACCTGTACATGAGGGGTACTGTTGTACTCGGGAGACTTCACTGAACACAAATATTTGTGTTTCAAAACAGTAAAAAGTATCATAGCAATAATATTGTCCGCTTAATGCTGTTTGTGCGTGAAAAATGCAAAAAACGTCACTTTTACTGGCGATAACATCGTTGTAATACATTTTACTGTTTTGAAACACTAATATTTGTGTTCAGCGAAGTCTCCCGAGTAGAACAGTACCCCCCATGTACAGGTTTTATGGTGTCTCGGAAAGTTATAGGGTTAAATATAGTGCTAGCAAATTAAATTCCTTTTACTTTCGGCATGGGTTGTCATGCAGGTCCTGCTAATTGTAATTAATTAAGATACCTAATTATGTAAAAATATTACATAAATATATATGTAGAATCAATATATGTATATATATACGTATGTGTATATATATGTATATATCTATATAATTTTTTAAAATATTTTTATTTATATATAGGTATATATATAGTGATATATACGTATATATTTATGTGTATAAATATATATATTATTTCGTTCTATGTGTATTTTGATATATATATATATTAATTTCACAATACAGTTAGAACGAAATAACACACATCTATATATTTTTTAATTATTTATTTTTAATTATTTTTGTAATTTTATTTTTTAACGTATTTACATTTTAATTTTTTTTATAATATATATAAATATATATATAACAATAATTATATATATATTTAATCAGTATCAGTGTACGTGTAATTTGATATTAATATATATATATAATTATATATATATTAATAGTAAAATACACCTAGACGGTGTACATGTGTGTATGTATATGTGTATATATATACTTTGATCATATATATATAATATATATATATGATCTAAGTATATATTATTTATTTTTTTACACTATTTATTTATTTCATTTTTATTTTCAGCCAGCAGGGGGACCACCTGTCATTACAGGCAGCCCCCCTGCTGGCAATACAGAAGCCAGCTATCCCCGGCCATGTGATTGTGGGGTCCTCGCTAGGACCCCACTCTCACACGGCCGGGGGGCTTCCTGGAGGACGGTCGTGCCGCGGGGGGCTCCCTGGGAGTCCCCCCCACCGCGATCGCCGGCGTGGGACCGCCGGCGACCGGGTAAGTACAGAAAGACCGGAGGGCGTACTATTACGCCCGGCGGCGTTTAGAGCCGCCTATTAGAGGACGTAATAGTACGCCCTCCGGTCTTAAGGGGTTAATGCAGTTACAGGAAACATGGAGTGCCACCAGACAGCGGCGCCACTGATTGGCTCTTAGAGCGATTCCCATTTATACAACATTTTGGGATTCATGCAACTTTTGGGATTAAACTATTCAAGACCGGCTTAACCCTTTCAGGTTAGCTCTGGATACCATATCAACTTAAATTCAATTAAGTTGTTATTGTACTCATACAGTTTAGCCGGTTTTTAATTTACTATACCCTATACAGTGGATATTACTCACCTGCAATCACATCGGCTAAGTTCTCCCCTGCCGCATAGTTACCAACATTTGAAAAAAAAACATTCCAGGGACACTTTGAAGCACAGCTATCAATTACATTTATTTATAAAATATTTTACCAGGAATTACTTACTTGAAAATTTATCACACCCACTACCGCAAAGCTCCGCCCACTCTGTCCAACTCTCATATTTAATCTCAGCTAATTTATCATAGTGCTGATTATAGGGTCTACTCAATAAACAAAGAATTACAAGGAATTGAGATGGGGATTTCAAACTCACCTATTCATCTGCACTATTTCGACCTAAAGTTTGAAATTCATATCTCGGTTCCCCGGAATTCTATCATTATTAAGTAGACCTATATAATAACAAGTGACCACCAACAGTACCATGCATCCTTGGTATGCGATAGATACATTCGCAGCATAGCATCTGTATCAGTCAGGTGCATTTGATCACTTTTGTCAGTACAAGTACAAATAAAGAAAGACCTTGTGCAGATGTGCTTTAGTCAGAGAGCTGTGTCTACACAACATAGAACATATATTAGTTCAAACATAATTATATTGGGGAGTGAATATAGTTAATAAAAAAGAGACAGAGTTGAAAATGGGAAATGAATAATATAGAAGGAGAATTTACAGAATGGAATCAATGAGAGAAAGGGGAGCAAAAGGAAAAAGTGGTTCTGGTGACTACAGTGTCCTTTTAATGTAAGGTAAATTAGAAATTTCTCCCCTACCAACCCCTTTGTGCTTCTCTTTCGCCCCTTTCTCAGCCTCTCTGTGTGTCTCTTCCACTCCCTCGTCCCTTAATGATCTCTTTCACTCCCCCCCATCTCTTAGTGGTCTCCTCTCTTTACCTTGTCCCTTAGTGCACTCTCCTCCTGTCCCTTAGTGATCCCCCTGCCCTTAGTGCTCTCCCCTACCCCCTTCCATTGGTACTCTCCCCGCTGTCCCTTGGTGCTCTCCTCTCCCGTCTTTTACTGATCTCCCCGCCTGTCCCTCAGAGCTCTTCCTTCTCCCCCGTCCCTTAGAGCTTTCCCATCCCCTCTTGTCCCTTAGTGCTATTCTCTACCCCCTGTCCCTTAGTGCTTTTCCCTACCCCCTGTCACTTAGTGCTCTTCCCTATCCATCCCCTGTTCATTTGTGCCCTTCCCTAACTCCCTGTCACTTAGTGCCCTTCCCTACCCTCTCGTCCCTTAGTCCCTTCCCTACCCCCCCTGTTCCTTAGTGGACTCTCCTCTCCCCCCCATGCCTTAGTGTTCTTCTCTACCCCCACCCCTCCCTACTAGTGGTCCTCTACCCTCAGCTCTACCTCCTAGTGGTCCTCTCCCACCACCTCCACTCCTTAGTAGTCCTCTCCCCTCCTTGGTGTTCTTCTTTTCCCCCATACCCTGTCCTTAGTGTTCTTCTCAACCACCCCTCCTTAGTAGTCTTCTCTCCCCTCCCACCCCATTTTAGCTGTCCTCTCCCCCATCCCCAGTATTCTTCTCTCCCCCCACCCGTCCCTCCTCATGGTCCTCCCCCCACCTCCCCTCATTAGTGGTCCTTGCCCCCCACCCCCTCTCCTTAGTGTTCTTCTAGTCCCCCCTCCTTAGTCCGTCTCCCCCTTAGTGGTCC